CCGCTACGGCGCGGCGCTCCGCCCTCCGCCCGCCGGGGCCGGGCAGCTCCCGCGGCCGCGCCGCCTGGCAGCAGTCAGCCCGCCCGGGGCCTCGCTCCGCCGCCCTCGCGGGCTGGAGGGCGGGCGGAGGGCCGAGCTGGCGCCGCCGCCGCAGCAGCCGCGGGGAGACCGGAGGAGGAGACGGCGCAGGCAGGCCGGGCTCCCGGAGTTGAGCGGGCTCCGCAGGACGCGCGTGTGGAGCCGGCCGGCGGCAGGGAGGGGGTTATAGCGCCGCCGCCGCGCCCCTCCCCCGCCCCCGCCCTCCGCCTCCCCCGGATTCCGAGCCCGGGACCCGCACCTCGGAAGCGCGCAGGGGTCTCGCGGGCCGGGTCGGGCCCGGCCGCCACCGCCACTGCAGTGGCCACACACGCGCTCACGCAGGCAGCTAAATCCATCCAAGCTCGGCGCCCGCGGCTCGGAGCCCACAGGCGCCCGGACTCCCGGAGCGCCCCTCCCTCGAGCTTGCCCACCCTTCAGTGCCAGCTGCAATCCTGCGGCACCGGGCGGGGAGGGGAGGAGGCCGCTGCAGAAGCACGGCCGTCTCCGGCTCGCCTCTCTCTCGGGCCCCAGCGGCAGTAAAGGGCAGCGCCCAGAGCTGCTGCGCCAAAAAGGGCATGAGAGTCGGCTTGGCCCCCGCCCGAGAGCCGCTTCCCACTGTAAGGATCCCGTGCTCCAGCCTTCCCCACTCCATAAAAGGAGGGGGAGTGAGTCTTCGCGGAGAGGCGGGGCGGGTTTAGGGGCGCGTCTGGGGCACTCACCTGACGGCTGCCACGCGCCCGCGCCCCAAAGCCAAAGCCCGGGACACCTGACTGAGGAACTTGTGTGGAGGTGGGAGCGAGGCCCGGGTCGGGGGGTAGGCTGCCGCCTGCCTCATCTCCACCTTGACACCCTGCACCCTCCAGGTCCTTAGCCCCTGGCCGAAGGCCCAGCCGTACCCTGAACGGGGAGCTGGGGGGGGGGGGGGAAGGGAAGACAGAAAAGAAGCCCCGGGTGAGGAACTCCTGGGTTCGGCCTGGCATCCAAGGGGCGCAGAGCGCCACCTCCGGCCAAGGCGGAGCACAGACCCGGTGGCCGGGAAGCGACACGCGGGCGGAGGTCTGACCAGGCTGGACGGTTCTCCCACTGAGAGAGACGGAGCCCAGGTGGGATGTGACCCGACGGCAAGGCCAACGCTGCCAGCTGCCTGCCGTGCGTAGGCCTTAGGGCACTGTGGACCGTTTGAATCCCAAAGCTGAACAGCCTAGTGCTCTGGAGGCTGTGGAGAGCTTCCTGGGGAGGGTGCAACCGAGAATACGGCCCGTCCAGTTCACTCCCTGTCGCGTGGATTAATCCGTGCACCCTGCCCCGGCCCTCCCCCGCCCCCAATCTCCTTTGTCCCCAGACAAAAGCGCAGCCTGGCAGGAACCTTTCATCCCCAGCAACCCGGGTTCCTGCATTTCAAAGGCGGGGCCTGAAGAGCCCTTCGAGGGGCGGCTCACCTAGCCCCAAATACCTGGTGTGGGGCGGGGTGGGGGTGGGGTTGCTCAGCCTCCCCCGGGGATCTTCGCAGCCCACATCTAAGGCTGTTCCACAGACTTTCTCGGTCTCCCAGGCCCCCATCGCCACACCCCTGCCCTGACACCTCGGGGATGCTCAGGACGCCCTCTCTCGCCCTAAGGAGGGAGTCTGGAAAAGACTGGGGAGCGCCCCACCTCGAGGTCTTTGAAAGCCCGGGCCTCGTCCGTACTGATGGAACTTTGCTCTGGAGTGGGAGACTCACTGGATGGCTTCTGGCGGCGACCACGAGCACCGAGCCGGACCTGAGGCGAGTTCCTCACCGTCTCTCGCCGAGGGTACTGCGCGTCTCGTGCTGCCAGGCCCTCGGGCTCCTCCCTGGCAGAGAGGACCCGAGGACACCTCCCTGCGGTTCGACGGCCCGGTGTGCCGGTGGACGTGGGAGTCCGGGAGGAAGATCGGGTTGCATTGCGGAGGGGCTGTGGCTCTCGTCCGGCCGCCACCTCCGCAGGGAGGCCGCGGGTTCCCGGGGACCCCGCCTAGCCTGGTGCTTTGCTCTCCCCTTACTCTCTAGGCGCAGCAGGGGCGCGCAGCTGGAAGTCAGAGCGGGGCGGGAGGGGTTCTGAAGGCGCAAGGGGACATCTGGGGCCAGAGTGAGGCTGGGCCCGGGTGCCTCGCCCGGGACGCGGAGCTGCGGGGAGCTGGGCGCAGGCACTGCTCTAATCGCCGACCGCTATTAAAAATAAAACCGCGACCCGTCGTCATAGCGACCGCAACAACAGCGGCCGCGCGAGGGTGGTAAGAGCTCGTGCAGCCCGGCGCCAGCCGCCTGGGGGGACCGGGGCACGCGCCTGAGGCTTTCGGGGTACTGTGATGTGAGAACGACCCCCACCCCGACACCGCCCGGCCGTTCCTCGAGGTTTTCCGAAGCCTCCGAGGACACGAACGCCTGATCTCTGAGAACTGGGGCTCGCTAAGTCAGGCCGTCAGGGGCCTAAAGGGGAACCGGGCGGCCCAGACTCTCCCGCCCCCTCCCCCTCCCTTCCCCCGGGACCCGCAGCAGCCCTCACTTCGGCCTGTGGGGAGGGGGTGAGTCTCGGGTGTCAGGCCAGGCCGAGCTGGCGGGGCTGCAGGCGCTGGAGGCCGCAGCACCTGTCCCGCCCGCCCGCGCCCCGGTGATCCCTTCTGGTGGGAGAGATCACGTGCTTCCCTCTGGCTGGGATTCGAGTTTCACTTCTAGCCGCTATTAGGCGGTTCACTCGGTTCACTGCAAACATTTGATAATGAGGCTAAATATACTTTACAGTCGGAGGAGGTGTGGGCGGCGGCTGCCCTAGCCTGTAGGTGCGTCGCTCCGGGCTCCACGGGGCATCCCCGCCCCAGCGGCTGAGAACAACCCCCGAGCCCAGTGCGAGGGACAGGCCCGCGCTCTCCACCCCCAGACGATCCAGTCCCGAGCGGGACCAACGTTTTAGGGACTGTGAACGCATGGGGTCAGCCGGAGGGTCCCTGGAGGAAGAGGCCTCGGCGGCCAGGAGCTCGGAGGGCTGGCGCAGGAGGTGGGAAGGGACACCAGAAGGCGCACCTGGCGGTGACCGGGGATGTCCGGCCGCCCCCGGAGCGGATGCTTCCGGCCTGTCTCCTGCGCCCCCGGGTGCAGCTCCGTGTGTCCGCCCGCCCATCGTTAAAAGCATCAAGTGTTTCAAATATCCCGAGAGAGGGCCTGCGCGGCCGCCGTGACCAGCTAGCACTTGACGGTGCCCTCTCCACACGAGACCCCGAGCACACAGGGAGGGGTAGACGCGGCCTTGAGTGGAGGGAGGCCGGCCAACTCGACCGAGACATCGCCCCATAGCCCCGCATTTTAAACGTGAAGCACCCCTTTCCCCCAGAGACTCATCAGGGCCCTTCAGCTGCTTGGAACTCAATTATCCGTGCTCCATTATTGCAGTCATTGTTACTCACTAGGCTGCAACGACCGATCCTGAGTCCTGACGCTCATGGCGGTCTTTCACCCTGTGAAATAATTCCAAACAGCCACCTCGAGGCAGCGGGACTTGCCCCCCCCCCCCCCCCCCCCCCCCCCCCCCCCCCCCGGGCGGCCGGGGCCCCCCCCCCCCCCCCCCCCCGCCTTCCCAGTCTGCAGAGGGCAGGTGAGTCTGAGTCCCAGGCACCAAGTGTCCCACCCCTTGGGAGCTCCAAGAGCACTGGAAGCTAGAATGGCCAGGCTGCGTTTGCACTGGGCGAGGATGTGAAGGCAATATGGGATGGGTTGCTCCATGTTTGGACCCCACGCCCCAAGAAGAGGCAGTAGACGGTCCCTCTGCCCTTTGCTGTTTGGCTTTGGTCTTCGTGCTTTCTGTTGCCTGTCTTGCCCTGAATTTGGTTCCTTTATCCGGAAAAATAGCAAGACTGGAAGCCAGTGCTTCGCCTCGCAGGTGGCCTCCACAGCCAGCAGCCCCCCCCCTCGACCCCCTCTGCCTATGTGGGGCCAGCAGGGCCCCAGGCATCCAGGCTCTGCCAGAGCTATCCCAGAACAATTTGTAATGTTGAAACACCAGCTTCCCTTTATCTCTGGGCAAGGCTTTCTTGGTTCTGGGCAATTAACCCAAATGGAGCCTTAGCCATGTGGGCTCTGGTCCTTGAAGATCAAAAGTGCCCAGCCACAAGCCTTAATTATGTCATTATCTTGCCCCCCCCTTTCCCCCAGGCTAAGGATCGGGCCTTTCCAGTTCAGGCGCCCCAGAAAACAAGATAAGTCTGTGCTGGGGTAGGAGGGCACCTCCAGGCTGCTTTCCACTCCCTAGTTTTATTTTCACTTTTAAACACACAAACAGAAGTTATGTTTAAAATAGCATGCAAGCCCACAATGGACTTGTGAATATTTTGTGAATGAAGACCTAAGAAAAGGAATGTATGGTGGCTTTTGATAGGAAAAGCCTAGAGGCTCAGGAATGGAGCATCTTGATAGTGTGCTTTCCTATCACACACAAGGCCCTGGGTTCTATTCCCAGCACCAAAGAAAAACAACCCTGGCGCCGCATGCTTGTAATTCCAGCATTCTAGAGGCAGGAGAACAGGAGTTCAAGGTCATCCTTGGGTCACACAATGAGCTCAAGGCCAGCCAGAGCTACATTAGACCCTGTTTTAGAGAGGAAGGGAGGGAGGTAAGGGGAGAGGAGGGGAAGGGAGGAGAGGAAAAGAGAGAGGAGAGGAGTGGGGAAGCAAGGAGAAGAGAGGGGAAGGGGGATGAAAGAGGAGGAGAGGGAAAGAGAGGAGAGGAGAAAGCCCAGCCCGGCATGGTACATGAAGTTAAGGATTGCCTCAACCTCAAGGGTAGCCTGGGCTACATAGTACGAGCCTGTCTCACAAAAAGAGAAAGAAAGAAAGAAAGAAAGAAAGAAAGAAAGAAAGAAAGAAAGAAAGAAAGAAAGAAAGGAAAGAAAAGAAAGAAAGAAAGCCCAAAGAATAAGTTCTGTCTGGTGGTCCTAACAGTGGCCACCAGCCTTTTAGGTGTGTCTGGTCAGAACTTTTCCCTGTAAAGCATGGGGGCTTGTAAAACCTCAACACTCTAGATCCTATGCAGGGTAGAGAAAAGCAAAACAAAAACATTTTAAGTGTATGACTATCTTTCATGTATGTCTGTGCACCACATTCATGCCTGGTGCTTAGGCCAAAAGAAGGCATCAGATCCTGTAAAACTGGAGTTACAGAGAGTTGTGAGCTGCCATGTGGGTGCTGAGAATCAAACCCGTCTCAAGAGCCCCCAGAACAAAACTTTTGTTCGTAACTTTTGTACTATGGATTATAGTGTTAACATTTTGCAAGTTTGAAGTTAAATAAATAAAACATGGTCACTATTCATTTCACACACACACACCCTGTTCAATGTGATTCAAATAACTAAAAATGACCTGCAGAAATCAGTCTTGGCAGAGGAACCAGCCAGTCCATCATCCCAGCACTCAGGAGGCTGAGGCAGTAAGATGGCAAGTTCTAGGCCAGCCTGGCTACATAGCCAGACCCTGTCTGCAGATAAGTAAATATTTTCTAAGAAGAAAAAGTAAAGAATGCTATCTGGGACTGTTTCTGGTGGTTTATGCCTATAATTCCAGCCCTTAAGGCTGAGGCAGGAGAATTGGGAATTCTAGGGCAGCCTAGGTTTCATCATAAGTTCCAAGCTAACCTGGGCTACCTCATGAATTCTCTAAAAAAAAAAAAACTTCCAAATCAAGGAAGGGAACCTGTGCCCATGTTTTTCCTCTGTGAACCAACAGGTAAGGATTCTGGCATGGGAATATGGCCTAAGTAGCAACCAGCAAGTGGGGCTCAACCCTGAGCTACCCTGCCTCCCCTTCCAGCTGTGATCCTCCAGGTAAACTGGCCACTTACAGGCTCGCCCTGGCTGTTTCCTATAAT